CTAACTCTGCTTTTGGCAGAGAGAACTCTACCAAGTGTCTAGATCATTGAAGTCCCTATCACTACTGTTTCATGCCTTCATGCTGGGTTTGTGTTTTATTTCTAAACTTGTCTATTTTTTTTCTATCCAGGTGGTCTATGACACGCACTTATCATTTGTGTTTTTGCTTCTGTTGAACTATACTCAAATGTTTACCACCATTTCTTCTCTCCCCCCTTATTTCCTGAATTTCCTCATATTTTCATTACATGATGCTATTTAGCCTTCCATTTAATGTAGCCTGTTTCTGTTGTATAAAGTATACCTTTCTAGATCTATATTCCAGTTATGGATCTTATCTCACCAAATAGCATCCAATGCTTTATGAAATCAAATGTTCCTGCTTTATAATCACTTTGCTTATTATGTGTACTTTGGGCATTTGTGTGTAGACATCTGAGATCATGGACTTGATGGTTGGTTCTTTTCTTGGATATTTGTCTCCTGTGCAATTCTGTATTCCTCTCCTGCTATTTTTCTTTGTGCATTGTATCTATTCTTAATGGCACCTAGCTTGGTGGATATGCATGAGCAGTTTTCTTTCTCCTTCCTTTTTGAGTTTAAAGCTTTTTAAATAATTGCTAACATTTATATAGTGCTTTAAGGTTTGCAAAGTACTTGAAATATATTATTTCCTTTGATTCTCCCAAACAACTCTGTGAGGTGAATGTTATTATTGAGTCCCTTTTCACAAATGTTCAAAGTGAAGTTGAGGGAGATTTAGTAACTTGCTCAAAGTCATACAAAGCTGCTAAATGTCAGAGATGGAATTTGAACTCAAGTTCTTCCTGACTCTCAATCCAGCACTCTATCTATTGTACCACCTGGCTGACTGCCTAATTTCAATTAGATGTGTAAGATTCCAGACAAATGTACTCTTATTAGCCTTTTTAGGGGCACTGTATTTCTAGTAAATAGACTGTCATTTCTAGATTTTATGCTATGGTCCAGAAATTGAAATTCTATTCTCAGACAACATCTACTCTTAACAAGCTGTTCAATTCCCAGTAGATGACAATAAGAGCAGAGAGAATAGAATATAAATGAATATAAATTGATGGATGTGCATCAGAGGCTATTTAGGGTTTCTGGTTGAGGGATAGTTGGGAAGCAGCAGTGAGGGTCAAAGAGTATACCAATCCCTCTTCCCTGACCCTGAGATTCAGGGGTAGGAGGGTAAGAGTGGAAAGTAAGGGAAGAGTCTTCCATCAGAGAAAACTTTGTTTATCATTATCTGGACTTTGTTGCCATGCTTCAGATGCCTTATCCTTTGTCCATACAGTTTCCTTCTCTAATTGGTGAGTTCTTCCCCAAACCTCCATCTTGAGGAAGTGCTCACACCAGTTATCATTCATTCTCTGGACTTTACCATTGTGCACCATATCCCACCCCATTTAAGCTCCCTTTTATGTGTTACATTTCTCTATTAGAAGGCCTGTCAATTAGGATGCCCGTCAATTGAGGAATGGATGAACAAGTTGTGGTATGTATTTGTGATAGAATCGTACTGTGCTATAAGAAATGATGAGGTTGGTGATCTTAGAAAAATATGAATAGACTTGCACAAAATAATGAAGAGTGAAATGAGCAGAACCAAGAGAATGTTGTATACAGTAACAGCAATATTGTTTTAAGAACAACTTTGAGCGAATCACTCATTTTATCTATTGTAAGTATCCACGTTAACTACAAAGGCCATATAAAGGAAGATACTATCTGGATCCAGAGACAGAATTGATAAACAGAAGTATGAATAGAATGATTTTACATATATATATGTATTTACACACATATATACATACATGTTTGTGTCTAGTGGTAGTCATCTATAGATGGGCGGGGGAGGAGGGAGGAAAAAAGGGGAAAAAGGAAATTTACACAGTAACTTTATTATATATTTAAAAGGAATAGCAAGTTGTGCATAATAGATTTGCAGTTTCATGTATAGTCATTTTTTTCTGTTATTCTGTTATGGAAATCCTTGTTGTTTTATTCCATATATTAAAAATAAAATGAATAAAAATTTAAAAAGCAAATAAAGAATGAAAAAAAAAAGAATGTAAGGTCTTTGAGGATAGGGATCATCACACTATTTGTTTGTATTTCTGTCCCCAGCACCAAGCAGAGGGCCTGGCCATATAGTTAGGAGGTGCTTAATAGGTGCTTGTTGACTTGACTTCACTAAAGAAGGTTGTAGGAGATGAAGTGTCCTTAGTAGAGAAGAGGGAGTGAAGAGGGAGGAAAAGCAGGAGTTGAAGTGGGCTAGTAGATGGAGGGAAACCAGGAGGGAGTGGAAGAAGAATATTTAGAACATGGATGATCATTTAAGAGGAAGTAGTACTTGCAGTTAAGGCAAGGGAACTCAATGACACAGATTGAAAAACCATTACAGCGAGAAATAGATTGTGGAGTCATGCTCTGTGAGCAAAACCCCTTTCTTCCTGTTAAATCTCAGAGGTCTCCTTCCAGGGAAGTCACATAGTTTCTAACTTGTACCAGGACAACAGGTAAGCTGCTAAAGTTTTGGAGGAGGCAATTCCTGGCCTTTCCATGTGGGAATTCTCATAGTACTTCCTTGCAATGTTTTCCACATAAGGATGTAACCAAATGATGCATGGACAACAACAGGGCCAAACGAAGAAAATGTCTTATCTGGAATGTCATTTTGCTCATGTTGGTATTTTTCATCAACCAAAGGCTTCAAAGATGCCTGGCCATTTCTTGATGCTTTACCAGCTTCCTAAGAGAGCATTAGCTTAGAGATCACTACATTTAAAAGGGCCAAACAACTATCAACAAGAAGAAGAAGAAGAAGAAGAGAGGAGGAGAGCTCTTTACAAAACCATTTGTGACTAAGAAGTTCTACCATTTGTGATTCAGAAGTTCCTTAATAGTTGATCATCACATAGATAGGTCAAGAAAAGTGTCCCATGTGCCTGTCATGTGAATTATGTTGCCAACAAGTGTTCCTGAAATACAATGTGTTATTGTTCTTTTTCGGTTCCATTTCACTGAACAAATAAAACAGCAAGAGGGATAGGAGTGCCAATGGACTTTCCATCTAGATCTGTGTTTTATTTGGTAGCTGAAATTTCAGGGCTAGGAAATTGTGCATTGTTATAAGACCCCATTCCCTGTGATGGTATCTACACCAATGTCCATTTGACCAAAAGAGAAATCCTTGTCTGTCTATCCTTATGGAAAAAAAGTCTCAATTGTTCATCTCCACTTCCCACAAATCTATGTTGCTGAGTTGGCCAATGTGAGTGATAAATTCCTCTTACTTCACACTGTGTAAATATAAAGTACACTGGATGCCTTAATATTCTTTATTCACTACTCCCCTGATGCACTTAACCTGTGGCTTATATATAATTGAGTAACAGTAGAAATCCATTGTAATTCTCTAGTGCTGGAGGATAAGGAATTACTTCATAGGCTTACAGGAACTAGAAGAGATTAAATGAAGTAAAATTCTATTATATGCTACAGGTTTGATTTTTTTAATGAGTCAAATTGGTACCATTGCAGTTACATAGTGATTTATAACACCTGTCTTATAAAACCTTCTCCACCAAATCAGACCTTTTCCACTTCTAGATGGTATCCAGTTGAAAGAGGAAGCCAAAAAGCTAGAATATAACCAGGTCCACAAACAGGCTAAAAACCAATTCATTTAAAAAACCCATCTCATTCCACTTGTTCGCTATCATTATATTTAATGTATTTCTAAGCATTTGCAAAATGGTTTTATTTTGTATAAATCAAAAGACTTGAATTGGTCCATAGTTTATTACAGATTTCTAGTCTAAATCAGACTAGATATAAACCCTGCTTCCAATAAAGGCTTTATTTAACAAATGGACAAGTCAAACATTAATTAAGCTCTTATTATGTACTAGGCATGGGTACTTAAAACTGGAGATACAAAAGCCAAAATAAGCCTTGCTTTCAGGGAACTCATAGTCAAATGGGGGAGACAACATATAAATGACTATGTTCAAACAAGATAGATACAGGGTAAATTGGAGTAGTCTCAGGGAGGGCACAAAGATTAAGGGGGATGAAGAAACACTTCTTACAGAAGATTGGATTTTAGTTGACACTTGAAGGAAGTCAGGGATATTACATATAACAGTGAATATTTTAATAACTCAGGTAAAATGGAGTTAAATGAAACCTGCTCTTTTACAGTAACACTGATATTTTTAAATAATGGAGATTGATGAAACAAAAAATCCAGGTTTGGTTGTCTGCATAAATGATGCATTTAACCATTTTTCGGGGGAGGCATGCGAACTTATGCTGCTTTTTTTTTTTTGGCTTTTTGGTGAGGCAATCGAGGTTAAAAGAAAGAAAGATACATGCATACATACTTACATACATAAATAACGTATGTGTATATATGCATATGTATACACACACATATATACACATATATATTTTCTTACTGGGCACAGTGGTACAAGCCTGTAATCTCTGCTACTGGGAGAGGACAAGGCTGGTAGATCCATTGAACTCGGAAGTTCCGAGCTTAAGTAGGGCTAAAGTTGATGGGGTGTCCACATTAAGTGCTAAATTCAGCACCAATATGATGAGCCCCTTGGTATGGAGGGCCATCAGATTGCCTCTGGAAGAACAAACTGGCACGGCTTGTAAGAACAGAGCAGATCAAAGCTTCTACACTGGTTAGCATTATAATTGACTCATAGGTGGCCAATGCACTTCCAATCTTGGTGAGATAGGGAGATCCAGTAAATTAATCAGTCAATAAAGCTCCTACTGTTCTTTTTTTTTTAAATCGATGGCAACAGTGAGTTTTATGTTGTGTAATTTTCCTGTTCCATGATAATAGGGAAAGGATGACTATGCATTCAATGAGATGTTTGAAGCCTAGTATGAAAAACAAACAAACAAAAACTTCTCCAATGAATGGTGATTACATGCCTTATGTTTTACAGTAATAAACGACTCGTTGCTTTAGTGCCGATGCCAAATGACACACCATTCCATACCCGCCGGGCCTACACCAGTGAGGATGAAGCCTGGAAATCCTACCTGGAAAATCCTCTGACTGCTGCAACCAAGGCGATGATGAGTATCAATGGAGACGAGGACAGTGCTGCTGCTTTGGGCTTACTGTATGACTATTACAAGGTAGACAGCCTATTCCTTACTACCCAATTTGCTTCTAGTTTTTTACTACAATGAAGATTATACTTGCCTTTTCTCTGCTGCTTCCTTGAGTGCCCATCACTCTGAGCTTAACTTCATATCTTAGAGCTAAAAGCTCTATTTTCTTTCTTTCTTTCTTTCTTTTTCTTTCTTTCTTTCTTTCTTTCTTTCTTTCTTTCTTTCT